TTTTTTTTTTTTTTTTTTTTTTTTTGGTTTCTAACTAATCTTTAATTATTTTGGTTATACATTTTTATTAGTTGTTCAAGACAATACAATGATCTTGACATATCATACATTTGATTCAAATAGGGTATGAATTCTCTTGCAGGGAAATGGATGGCACTAGAGCAAATTATGCTAAGTGAAGTTAGCCAATCCCTAAAACACAAATGCTGAATGTCTTCGCTGATATAAGGGAGGTGACTCAAAACAGAGTAGGAAGGAAGAGCATGAGAAGAAGATTACCACAAAATAAGGAAAAGAGGAGGGAGGGAAAGGGAGGGAGAAGGGGAAATGCACGGAAGACGGAAGGAGACCCTCATGGGTTCACAAAATACATATACGATTTCTTATGGTTTTTGCCTTTTAAAAATGTATCACAAAAGCTGGGCAAAGTGGTGCACGCTTGTAACCCCAGTTGCTCAGAAGACTAAGGCAGGAGGCTCACCAAGTTTAAGGCCAGCCTGGGCCACTTAGTGAAGCCCTATCTCAAAATAAAATAAATTTAACAAGGTTTGGGGATGTAGCTCAGTGGTTTTGCCTACACTCACCAGGCTCTGGGTTTCATCCATAGCACAGGGGGGAAAAAGTATCACATAAGTGATAGAGTGAACACAATTTCACTGTAAGGGTTCAAATATGCAGACATGATAAGCATGGTGTAAAAAATCACTCTTGCTGCACCCTAGCCTCTCCTTCTCAGAGTGAGCACCACGGTCTACTTGATGTATTTCTCCTTCTAGCCTTTTGCCACATATCCATGGCGACCTAAGTATTTAACTTCAGTGGGTTCATATGCTGAGTATTGCTCTGTAACCTGCTTGTCTTAGTAATATGTCTTGAACTCTTTCCAGTACCTCTGGGTCCAACACATTATTTTTGGAAATTGTATTAAATGCATTCCATTGTTGGTATGTACCGTGATCCATTTAATTTTACATTTTTGAAATATACAGCAAATATCAACCAGCTGCTCCTCAAGACAACTCTGGTTGGAAGGCACTTGAGTCCTTGGACTGTGAGGCAGGTAACTATCTAGTTCTCTAGACACACCAAATGTCATGAGATTATTTCCCGAAGCCTCATAATATAACCATATAAGCACAGATAAAAAATTTTGTTTTCAAAAACTGAGAGGTTAACACACCAAGATATCTTAGTGCTTTTTCCTTCAGAAATGTTTGGGATAGGGTCATAATCCATTTAAACAGTTTCTACCATAATATAAGAAAATTAAAATTCAATGATTGAATAATTCACTTAACCCTAATATGCTCTTGTCCTTCCCTCTTTCCTTTTTGGATTTTCCCTTCTCTCTTTCAGATGTCTACCCTCCATTTCTGCCTCTCCAAACAAATAAAACCCTTGCAGAAGAGCAGTTCTTTGTTATCCACTATCTATTATAGCCAAAAGGCTGCCACAGTTTCAAAGGCAGCTGGTCACTTGGGGCAAGTGGAGAGGGTTGTCAACAGTTCTTGCCTGCCAGGTTGATGCCTGGGTCCTCACACTCTAGCTAGACATTAGTGGTGACTCACCCCTCTCGCAACTCTCTCTACTCGGTCCACTCTGAAAGAGGCAAAATCACTGTTCTCGCTTTTGTACTTGTCAAGGGCTTTGTCAGCTTCTTTTCTGTACTGCTCCGTGTCCTCAAAGAAATCCAGGATTACAGGACTGTCTTTGTTATTGCTCAGTGCTGAAGACACTAAAGAAAGAAGACGACGGCAATATTGTAATTACAAGTGGGAAATAGGATGCCAATGTTTAGACTCCATGTGGTACATAAAAGCATGGTGGTAAGAGTAACAGGAACTTACATCTAAAACATGGGCAAATCCAGGGTTGGAGAAACTAAGTAGCTTGTTGATCAATCAGCCAGTCAGCAGCTGAGCTAAACCATTAGTCTTTCTTTCCATTTGTTCTAACACTCAGGTTCCTATTGTGACCACTGTTCTGATGCCCTAGCATTCATAAAATGCAAATATTTTAATAAATTCTTCCTGTCTTTGCCAAGGAGGAAAGAGGCCTCCTTAACATAAAGTTTGGTCCAGAGAGAGAAGATATAGCTCAATCTTTCTTTAAGGCAACCTCCTGTAGAAGTTGCTCCACTGTGGCCTATATTGAACCAGGTTGAGATTTAGCATGTTTAAAGGCATTCTGTGATAATTCTTTTTGAAAAAGCAAATATAAAAAGCATGGACTTTAGAGTCACCATGGTTGTTGATACAGTCATGCCTTCATCACATCGTGACCATGTGCCCAAGGCCATGTCATTGAACTTCTGCCTAAATTATTTTATCTCTAAAATAGAAAGCAACACAATCTTTATTTCATAGCCTTGGGTGAGGGTGAATGATATTATTTATAAACAATCACTTTGTAAACTATAGAGTAATATATAACTTTTAAATATGAAGCCAATACTTATGAGTGGTAAATGTTCCGCAAAGCATATTATATAGACCATTTTATTTGATTCTAACAAGAATCCTAACAGCTACTACTACTATTATCTCTATTTTAAAATGAGAAAAATCTTAGATTAAATAACTTGGCCTCAAAACCACAGAACTAGTAAATTATGAGACTGGGATTCTAACACAAGCAAGTCTGACCCCAGAGCCTATGTCTACACAATGTTGCTATATGGCACTTTGGAAAGCTCTATTTTCTTGTATTGATTTTTTTTTTTTAAAGGAAGATGTATCAGTAACAGGGGAAAACTGTCTCCTTCTATTCTCAGTAGAATGAATAATAATGAAGACCATGAGAACAGGGATCCTTTCTGATGTACATCATGGTATTAATATGATAAATACCACTCTATGACTGAGTTCTGTATTAATCGGGAATTTATTTAGCAATTTAACAGATTAACATACCAGAACTGGTGGTGCAGTTAAAGTCATTCATTCGGAGGTCCTGAGATTCATTTGAATATCTTGTAACTATTACCTTACATTGCCCAATCACCTGTAAAAAGAAAAGAGTTTTGGGCTGGGATTGCGGATCAGTGGTAGAGGGCTCACCTAGCATGCATGAGGCACTGGGTTCAATCCTCAGCACCACATAAAAAATAAAATAAAGATATTGTGTCCATCTAAATCTAAAAAATAAATATTGAAAAAAAGTGGCTTTTGACTCATTGCATACCATCCTCCTTTATGAGGGAATATGAAGGGAATGCCACATACTCCTGCTATCCATTTAAACTGTATTTGTACACACACAAAAGCCCTGGCTTCCATCCTCAGCACCACACACTCAGAAAATTGTATTTGGGGTTTCCTTCATCAAAGCCTGTCTCAAACCCTGCATTTTCTTACCTTGCTCCTGTGTGCTGCATACTATCAGAACCCAAAACCCTTAGGAGAATGAAGGAAAAACTGTTTAAATGGATTATGACCCTATCTCAAACATTTCTGAAGGAAAAAGCACTAATGCGTAAACCTCTCATTTTTTGGAAATGAAAGTTTTATCTGTGCTTATTCATTTTTGTGTTTTACACCTGTGACAGAGATTCTGGCATGTCAGTACCCACCTCCAATGTGCACAGCAAGAACCCCTTCCTCAATGTAACTAAGCCCTTTGGCCATTCCTGGTAATGAGACCAATTTTGATGGGATACACTTACAAGTTCATAGCTTCATGGACCGTAGATTGTGAGGCTTGGAAAGGATTTTGAGTCTATCTATTTCATGACTCTCCTCTTATTTTTACAGTTGAAGAGACTGAAGTCTAGGAATGTTAGGTGATTTTTTCCTAGGGACTCACAGCTGATCATACTATCCCAAGGAATCACAAGCCTTGTTGAGTTATCTTTCCCTGGGTTCCCATGAAGGGCTCTTTACAGGGTGTCACTCAAGGTAAACACAATCTTCATGAGTCTCAAGGCATAAACTGCTCTTACTCTTTTCCAGGTTAGACCAAACATATGGTTTCCCTGTGTAAGCTGATAGGAGGTAAGAAGGATTAAGAGGAGAATGGTACCCTGTATACTTACTATATCAGACGGCCTTCTAAAATGAGCTGGTATACAGTCTTCCTGGTTCCTGGACAGGACCCAACAGTCAGATTCTTTTACATCCAAGACTAAATAATAGACAGTCGCAGATCCCTGAAGAATGCCAAGAAAGCAACAGGTGAGTAGGATGAGGGAGCTCAGGAGGTTTTTAAAATAAAAACAATCTCTTTATTTCTTAAACAGAATTCCTGCTTATCTCCGAGTCTTTGCAGATGTCCTACCTCTGTGTCATTTGATCTATTTATTTGGATAAATGGCTTCAAATAGTTATTTCCAAGTGTTCTTTTTAACTCATTATAAGGTTTCTTCTGCCCCCAAACTTTAAAAAGTCATCACTGTAGGGCAGTGTTGGGTGGGTGGAGGTGTTGACAATACAAGCCTAGAATGGTAAGTGGAGATCGCCATATCACCATGTGCAATCTGCTGTGGTGGTGGTGTCCTCTCACCCAGCTCTCTTCCTGAATCTGGACTTCTGACCTTGATTTCAACTTAAACTCACTTCTCTTACAGATCTGCTTCCTCTCTCAACTTCCCTGGTCTTTGTCAGAAGCTATTAATTACTTAACTGCTGTAGGCTCTAGTTTAGAAAATGTGTATGGGCTTTGCTTTACTTTGGCTACACAGAAATCAAGCCATCAATGGTCTTTCTTTGAAACGTTCTCATGTGTATTTTTCATTTTCTTGCTTCAATTCCAACTACTTGGGTCTGACCATCATTTCTTCATTCCTGAACACATGAAATAGCTTCCTACTTCATGTTCCAGTCACTTTCTTACATCTCTCCAGGCACATTGTGTTCTCCTTTTCACCCCACTGCCACAAATCCATACTGCCACTCAGAGGTAGCACCATGCCCATTCATTCTGTGCCCCACACATGTGGCAAAGACCCTGAAATGGAACTGATGATCATTAAATTACTTGCTGATCATGAATTGCTTGTTGTTGATGATCAGTACATTGGTAAACTCCTGGATTTCTATTCTCTGCATTCTTCAGCACTTTCCTAACACCTTAAAAAGGGTATATTACTCTGCTCATCCTCTGTAGTAGTCCATAGTGACCTGACTCTCTGATTTCAGTCACTCCACCAAAGAGAAGATAGGTTATTATATTTTGCAAAGACAACTTCATCAGCCTTCCATAATCTCTATCAACCCATCAAATCCATTTCAAATCAGCATATAATCTAAGTGAAGTCTTGTTTAAACGTCTTCAAGATAAGCTCAGTCTCTCTTCCAACTTCACATTCAATTCTGGCCTCTCCAGAGCCCGTGCAGTTCTGGATCACACCCCTTACCCCGCCCAGCCTATTCAATTACTCCCTAGGGCCTCCTTTTTTGATTCCCTGCCCACCTTGATGTACCTAGAATTCTCTTGAAATGCCTTTCTCCAGGCCTCTTCCTATTCACATCCTACCCATTCTTCAGATTCAACTGAAGTCTTCTCCCACCCAATCTTAATAGCTCTCCTTTCACTGAAAGTGCTCCAAATCAGCACTTGATCACTGAATACATTCTTTGTTACCCAGTTTGCCTTGGCGCATCAGAAGATTGTTCTTTCCTCAAGGGCAATTCCTGCTAGTTAATTCTGATTTTTCTCTGAAGCCATTTGCATAGTGCTTCTAAGTGCTTACAGATTGATCCCTAGTTAATCTATTCCAATAATAATCGTGGAGTTGGAAGGAAAAATAAACAATCTAGAGCAGCCACAGAAACTAAACAGAAGACCCTGACTGAAGCCATTTGTTGTGCTGAGGAGCTAGAATCTCATTTGCCCCGGAGCATGGTCTCCCAGCTCAGCTCTGACATGGACGATTTCTCACCACTGTGTCCAAGTGGGCATCAGCGACCCGCAGCAACTGGAAAAGATAGCCATTCCGTCGCCATTTATTGATAAGGTCTACAGCTTTCTCAGCCTCAGGCTCAACAGCATTGCAGTCGGTGGGACTCACAGCGCATGAACATTGCAGTGAGATCAAAAGTAGTAGGGCAGTGAGCACCTTCATTTTGCTACACTCCCCCTGCTGTGGTCTACCATAGCAGAGAATTTATACACACACAATTGATGAAACTTTATACATTTTTGTTGTGCAACTAGGAATGTTCACCTTGACCCCTGGTTCAAATATCTGTCAACAATCTGTAAATGATTAGTGGATCCTGGGGACAGAAAGCTGAGACATGCCACTGGTGATCCGGTAAAACCATTATCTACACAAATCTGGATTTTTTTTTAATTGTACATAATTACAGCACAACTTTTCATTTCTCTATACATGATATAGTATAGCACCATATGTGCAGTCATATATGTACCTAGAGTAATAATGTCCACTCATTCCACCTTCATTCCTGCCCCCCTGTCTCCTCCCCTTCCCAAATCTAGATATTTTTAGTAGGTTGCAGATCCAAAGTCTATTTTTGACCTTAAGCACTGCCAATGTGTGTGCCCAGTGGTGAGGTTTGTGCTAAGGTAATTTTCCTCCATCAGCCTGTCAGTCTCAGCCAGAAATCTCCACCATCAGCCCCTCTTTGAATTATGGCACTAAAGTTCAGTAGAATGCAATCAGTAGATTTTTTTTTTAGTTGTCAATGGATCTTTAATTAATTAATTCACTAATTTATATCCAGGGCCGAGAATGGAACCCAGTGCCTCCCACATGCTAAGCAAGTGCTCTACCACTAGAATTCTTTAAAAAGAATCCTTGGTAACATGTTTAGTAGTTAACATTATACAAGGAATTGACTTCAAATAGAATAGCATGATTAATGGACAGTGGCCTTGGAGTCAGATGTAAATTTCTAACCCTAGCTCTGTCACTTTCTTATTGTGTGTTACTGTGTAAACTCCCAAACTCCTCTGATTTTTAGTTTCCTTCACTTATAAAATGAGGATTAATACTTCTTTGTAGGCTTATGTGATAGTTAAATAAGAAAGCACATATAAAAGAACTAATACAAATCTTGGCACAGACTAGGTGCTAAATAAATGATGCTATGTGTTATTATTAATGCTGTTTATTAGGGTACCTGGGAAGAAGTGGGGAGCATTCCTATATCATCCCAATTCTCTGTGGCTCTTAAAGCATGCCAAACAGAACTGGTTCATGTGCAAGAGGAGAGGGGTGAGAGCAGGAGTCAAGCAATTGAATACCTGTCCCATAGTGGGGAGGGCTCAGCATTGGAAGACAGGGCTGGGATACACCTGACCCCCTGCCACTAACCCTCCAAAGAAACCTATATACCTATGTGGAACATTCATACCTGCAGAGGCCAGCAGCTTCTGAAAAGACTAAAGGGAATCAACTTCACTTCCCTCCCCACTGCCAAAAACAATCAGAAGACAGCATCTCTCTTCTTCCCTGTACTTTTTCTACAGTAAGGTTCTACAGCAATAGTTCTCAATCTTGATTTCATATTAGAAATGCCCAAGGAGTTTAAAAAGAATCCTGGGATCAGGACCCTTCAAAACAATTCAATCAGAATGGATCTGGGTTTGGATAGTTTTTAGATTCCCAAGTAATTCCAGTGTGCAGTCAAAATTGAGAATAAATGAGCATCCAGATAGAACTGAATCAAGTGAAAGAATTAGAAGAAAGAAAAGGGAGGAGTTATATGAAAAATAGACTTCACTTCCAAGGGTCACAGGTTGGTTTAGTGAGTGCTAAAGTGGAAGAAACATGTTTAGGATAATGTTCGAGACTGAACTTTTAGTGTGAACAACAAGTGGCTTTTAAACAACTGAATGGGACCACTATAGTATAACTCAGAAGGATAGAAATAGTATGGAATCTGCTGTAGGTATCTTTAAGGGCCCCAACTCAGTGGGGCAGGGGATAACTACTGATTAAAACAAAAACAGTTTTATGTTCTAATGAGTTGAGCTCCTTAATCAAGTCTTTCATCCAATATGGAGTACCTGGGCAAATCAGATGCTGGAGTAAATTAAGGGATGGGAATGCTGGGACTGGGAAAAAGGAAGGACAATTTATGCTTTCCCTACAGTACTGTTTTGCTGAGATTTGGGGGTACTTGCAGGACCCAGGCATTCCCTTCCCCTGGCTTTATTGAATATTTAAGACATACAGTGCTAACGATGCCTTTCCAGTAACCAGGGAAGCTTCAGGTTGAGGTGTCTCAGGGAGCACAAAATTAAAGGTAAGTATATGTTCCGTTCTGAGAACTGTCAAATGCTCTAGGCATTGACATTAGCTTTGGGAAAGCTTCCCAGATGGTCTAGAACCAGAGAATGGCCTTAGATGTGATAGAGGAAGAGGAGTGGTGGTGACTTCACAGGATGGCTTTTGGGGCAGACTGAAGTACACAGATCTTCACCTCCATGGTCTCGTTCTGGCATTCAGGTACTTTCTAGGTGTTTTAACCATGTTTTCAGGAAAAGTCAGCTAACAGAACTTTCATTCTTTTAAGATTTTTTTTGCTCATAATAGAATACACATTCTTTGCAAAAAAAGAAGCATGAAAAGTACAAAAAGTATAAAGAAAATTCATCTCAAATTCCACTACCCATGAGAAAAATCAACTATAATATAATTTCTTTATAGAATGTTTTCTATTTGGATATATACAACACAGATTTTTTTATGTTGTTGGAATTACTCTGTACATACAGATTTTTTTCCTTCACTGTTGTTGAGTATTTATTTACTTATAACTTATTTTTTCAGGTATTAGTAGAAACTATATAACATTTTAAAGTATTGTTTCGGGTATTTTATAGGATTTTAAATATTTGGGTTATTCTAATCATATAATTTTTAATTTTAAACATAAACCTCACATAAAATAAAACAAACAATATTATTAAATAAAATTAAGTCTCTCTCCCTTCCGTTTCATACAATCCCTTCCCTAGGGAAAGACTTTAAACAATTTCCTGTAATATGTAGCTTAAATATTATCTTTTCCTTTAAGGTTACACTGTGAGGACTTGTCAAGATCATTAAATATTCTTCAGGAAAATTATTTTCAGAGATCATGGTATATTGCAAGTTATATAAATATTAATATATTCAACATTCCTCATTTTTGGTCATTTATGTTGTTTCTATTTATTTGTTTTTATAAATAGTGCTACAGTAAATATCCTTGTACATCTCTGATTATTTCTTTGAGAATCACTGGATCAGTTAATATAATTTTTTAGCATCAGGGTTTTTATTTTTATTTTTTTGGTAATAGGAATCACTTCTTTTAAGAAAAAAGAAGTCAATTTTGGTCAGACGTTTAATGTATTATTTTGTTACTTTACTTTCAAAAAATAGACATATTTTTTAAAGCAGGTTTAGGTTTGCAGCAAAATTAAGTGGAAAGTACAGGGAGTTCCTAAGTACTCTTTACTTTCTGGTCCCATGCTCACAAACTCCCCCGCCCCATGATAAACATCTGAACCCAGAAGGTCACATTTGTTCCCGCCAAAGAACTTACAATGACACATCATTTTCACCGGAAGTCCATAGTTTGCATTAGGGTTTCCTCTTCACTCAGTAGGGTACCTAGCATGGGTTTTGACAAATGTGCAATGTTTGCATCCACCATTATAGTATCATGCGGAATAATTTATCTGCCTTAAAAATCCTCTGTGCTCCATTATTAATTTATCCCTCTCTCCTCTCTCCCCTCTAGCCTCTGGCAACTACTGATATTTTTCACTGTCATCACAATTCTGTCTTTTCCAGAGTGTCGTATAGTTGGAATCAAACAGTTGGCAGTCTTTTCAGATTGATTTCTTTCACTTAGTAATAAGCACTTAAATTTCCTCCATGTCTTTTCATGACTTGATTGTTCATATTTTTTAGTGACAAGTAATATCCATTGTCTGGATGTACCACATTGTATTTATTTATTCTCCTACTAAAGGTCATTTTGGTTCCCTCTAAGTATTGGCAATGATGAGTAGTAGATCTGCTATAAACATCCATGTATGGGTTTTTGTGGATGTAAATTTTTAACTCATAAGGAGTGTGATTATTGATCACATGGTAAGAACATGTTTAGTTTTTTTATTTTTTAGAAATTGCCAAACTATTTTCCAAATTGGCTGTACAAATTTGCATTTCCACCAGCAGTAACTAAAAGTTCCTGTTGCTTCACATCCTCAGCAGCATTTGATGTTATTGTCAATGGACTTAAACTTGTGACCTTCCTGCTTCAGCCTCCCAGTTAGCTGAGATTACAAACATGTGTCCCCCTACCTGGCTAAGAAGTTACTTTTAAAGATGCATCAGCATTAAGTCTTAATTCCACATAACTAGAAATGTTCAACACCAGACGTTTCTGCATAGGAGACTGGTGTTTCAACAGAGACGATTTGAAACCACTGATTATTTGAATACAAAGCCTCAAATGAATAATGTCTACAGCATTTAGAAACTATTAGCTGGCATTTGGATTATCTAGCTTGCATGGAGTTTGCAGGGTAAGAAAAGAAGGTCAAGAATAAAAAACTAGAGAAACAGCAAGAAGCAAGCCAGAGAAGAACCCAAGTCAGGACCTGAGGAGAATGATGGACCCAGGTTCCCCAGCTTACTGGTTTACCATGGGGTTCAAGGAGCCAAAGGGAAGACAAGATTGAAAGAAGAGAGGGAGGCAGGGAGAGGGCACCATGTTGATACCATGCTCCTTCCCACACATCAGCAGCGAGTTCAGCAATGGCTGCATCACCACCAGGGTAGCTCCTTCCAGGTGGCCCCTCTTCCACAGCTCCAGTTTGTGCTGGGCTTCTTGTCCTCCTGCCTTCCCTGCAGTCGCTATTTCTCCGTGCCTCAGCCTCCCCTGTCCTTCCCTGACCTGGCCCACAAGCGTTCATTAAACGTTCCTTCACTGATGGATCTTCAGTTGAGCTGTTTGATGACCATTCTGCCTCTTTCCAGACCCTGACTGAACCCACATGACATTCGCTCCCCAACTTTTTAACTTATTATGGGTAATAGGTAAGAGTAATAGGGTGTGAGTTTTATCTACTTCTTTTACATAAATTAGGCCAAGGACTGTGCATCACTTCTAAGAAATGGCCACCAA